TTTTGCTTTTTAAACTTTTTAAATTGATTGAGTAATCATAACGCTAATGAATTTATGAACCAAATTTAATGAGTTAAATGTGAAATTTAATCTTTGGCCGGGGAAGTAAGGCAAACATTAAAAGAGTCGGAGGGGGAAAAGAGAGCTCATAAAAGAGCTTTTTGCCGACACCAGATTTAAAATCATTAAACACGGATATAAGTTATCTATGCAGGTGTTGATTTTTTATAACTGTTTTTTCAAACACACTTTCAAAACTTCTGACAAAAAGCTTAGAAAGTAAGAATATTTAAAAGTTTTAAATATTAACTTTCGCCAATGCTAATAAAACACAATATGTGCAATTGTTTATTTAATTATTTAATAAATATGTTTCCTAAACTTAACAACAATCTAAATATTCCTTTAATGCTAAATAATTGTTATAAATCTTTTAGTAAAAAAAAACACCAAACAATTATTTACAATATTGTAAATTATGGTTGTTAAACTCTATAAACAATTTTGTCTATAAATATAATTTATAACAGTCCAAATTACAAACATATAGTATTAGAAAAAAAAAGTACAAAAAGATTTGAACAAAATTGTTTTTTTCATCTAATTATTACTTAAATTATAAATTACTTTATAATTTATATAAATAAAAATTAAATATTAACTATGACCGACACGTTTAATGTCTAATTTGTTAATTTATTCTTTAATGTTTCGTTTAGAATTTATGACTGAAGTTTGTTTTCAATGGATTTGTGCGGATTTTCTTTGCTTTCTCTCTTCAATCTTTTGCCAATGTGGTATTTTTTGACGTGTTGATGCAGTTGCTCGCAAATCAATATATTTCTTGTTACATTGCATTTGTTTACGCATGACATAGTAAACACTTCGTCCCTTAAAATTATCGCATCTTGGTGCCAATTTTTTATTGAATTTAAAATTCTGAATATTGCGACACGAAAGTTTTTTGCCAGAAAAGTAATCATTAATGCACCTTTCAGTGCTAGAACCCTTTTCTTGGTTAGTTATTTTAGCTTTCCAATTCATCATTTCACAAGAACATTTCCAAGGATTATTGTTAAGTCGTGCCAGTAACAACCTTTTTTGTTGGAAGAATGTTATAGGTAGCGCCTTCAACTGATTATCATTCAAATATATTTTCCTCTAGGCTCTGTTGATCGTCAAAAAGTCCAGTAGGTATATAGGAGATATTATTTTTGGACAAATTTATTACTTTCAAGTTTTTACAACCCATGAAAGCATCCATGGAAATATCCTTGATATGGCAATTTGACAAATCTAATTCTTTTAGTTCGGAAAATCCTGCAAACGCATCAAACTCCACTGAGCCCAGCTGCCCACGCAATTTTAATTTTCCAGCGATGTTAAATCCTATAAGATTATAAACCATATTATTACATTTTGAAAGCCATTTTCTGCTAATTTTCTTCTCCTTACCTTGAATATATTTTGATCTAAACTTTGTATAGTTACATTATTAATTTCCAATATTCTAGTTTAGTTAACTTTTAAATGGCTGATTACCCCACACTCTAGGGCAGTTGCACCAGAACCAAATACATTTCCTGTGTTTGATCATGACCCAGAATGTGGCAGGGAAAATATAACGTATGGGATTGTGACGAAAATCAATACGTTCTAATTTAGGCAACGGCGGAAAACTCAATTCCGTTAGTTTAGTTAAATAGTTATCGCTTAAATCCAATACTTGCAACTCAAACAGGCCGGCTAAATTGCGATAGTGTAAATCATTTATATTATTGTGTGCCAACGATAAGGTTTTTAATTGTGTGGCGCCAGATAAAGCAAATGGTGGCACGACAGCAATATCATTGCGCTCCAAGGAGAGATGTTGCAATTCTTCTAGACCCATAAACATTTCCCAAGATAACTCATTTAAACCACATGACTGTATGCGCAAAAACCTCTAACTGTTTCCAAACCATAAAATGAGGGCATTTGAGATTTTTTTCACTTCTTCTTTATATACTTCGTATGGTACAATTTCCAATTCATCTTGCTCTTGTTGTTGCAATTCGAATAATAGTTTCTTATCGTATGGTTTGATATTTTTATCCTCTACATTGAATTCCAAACTATGAGCAATTCAATATTTGGTTTGTAGTCAAACACTTCTTTAGGATGCACCAAGTTTTTGGGTTTCTTAAAGATTTCGGATCCGATTAAAGTAATGGACTCAAAGTTGGCATGTTGTAAAAAGTTTAAGGGAGCATCTAGCAAAAAGCGTAAACCACGATCTTGAGGTCCTCGAATTTCTAAAGTAGTAAGTTGATTTAAGGGCTTCAAGATACTGCTATTCACTAAAATAAATAAAAAGTTGTGTTATATTTGACTTGATTAATGACTAACTTGAGAATTACCTGTTTTATTCTTCCTACTCCAGTGTACAGTAAAATCAAGGCTTGCATGTCATGGGGTAATGTTTTGATCAATTGTTCTGCGTCAGTATCCTCCTGAATTATACACGTAGCCTGTTTTATAAAAGGATTTGTTAAATAACTATAGTCTCCTTCATAGGACGACTCATTATCCATTAAATCGGCATCAGAATCGTTGTTATTGTTTTCGTTGTTTGCATTGTCCTCGTTTTGCTGGGGTGATAAATATTTCTGTTGCATGTAATTGATCCAACGTGATATTGGCAAATCCATTAAATGAGCGTATTGACAAACACAACCTTGTGGACATTGCGGCATGTCAATTTCTATAGCTGGAATGGAATTTATATTAACTTCCGTTTCCGGTTGTTTATAATAATCCATATCGTCGTCATGTTGTAGACGATGATTATGATGACGTTCCTGTTCTTCATATTGTTGCTGTTGTTCTTCGTTCTCATCATACGATGATGATATTATGTCATATCATATTTATTTCGTTTTATTCTATTTTGCAAGTTTTTTCTATTGTTAGTTTTAGTGCCTCTATATTGAAATGTTGCTGTGATGCATATTTTCTGAAATAATAAAATATTTCTTTATTAATATTGCACTTTAATTCACATTTATTTATATGTTTGCTGCATCTCATCTTTATATAAGTCACATACAAGACTTTTTAACATATATTTTTGAGTTATTGTTACATAAATATATCGTTATCTTTTGAATTTTATGCATTAACATGTTTAAAAATACAGATCTTTTTAATTAGTTTACTCACTACACAAAATATCAAGGTTAATATAAAAAACCACTTCATATTTTTAACAATTTTCCATTTAATATAATTTATTAAAATTTAAATTTTTCAAAGATCAATTTTATATCTTAGATCAACATATTTTTCCAGAAATGTTATTTTTAAATAATTATGTCGCATTGGAATATCACAAAATGTTAACTCTCTAAACGTATATTATTATTGGCGTGTAGCGTTGAAAAGACGATATAAAACTAAATATGAATTTTGTGAAAAACATAAACCGCCTCCACTAAATTACAAAATTAAAAAGATTAAACTCGTATAAGTATTTATTGTATGTATCGTATATAAATATGAAGGAAATCGCGACGAAAGGATGTTGTTATCAGTAAAATGTGTGTTCTTAAACATGTAGGCATATGCTATACAATCCAGAACTACTCTACTTCGTATAAATTTTATAAGTATTGTTTTTGAGGTAAATTAAAAAAAAAAAAAAAACAAAATAAAGTCTTGTGCATAAATAGTAATTAAAATAATATGTTATATATGTAATAAATGTGTATATGCAGTAATACATATATAATATAATATATAATTAAAATGAAACATGAAAACAAATACTATTATATACTGGGATTGTAATACTTACGCAAATCTATACAAGAGCAACGTTTTTATATTTATTTTTACAAATTATTAGTACCAGTTTAACTTCTTAAAAATCCATACCTTTTAAAGTTATTTAAAATATTTAAATGTTTATGTTAAAATAATTACTAATATAATATCCACTTTATATAAAGAATAATTTTGAAAGTTTTAAATATTTCGTTGCTTAATTTTTTGGGTTTGGCAGTCTGAATTGAAATTCTGGTAGTTGGTTAAATTTCGAATTAATGGAGGGCTATATATCTATAAGTTTTAATCGTATTAGAGTTGCTACTTGTTTTCTTCTATTGTAATTTCATTAAAATACATCATCTATTGCTGAAACTAATAATTTGTTTACTTTTTGTAAGATCGCTTTCTACAATCTTACTATGTGTTGATATTTTATATATATAAAGTATGATGTATAATGTTGTATATTTATTTGTTTATGTGTGTTTTGTGGTTAAAACATTTGTAAGATAAATTTGATGCTGTGCAAAGTCAATTATAATTAACATATCATACATGTGTGCTGGTTATTAACATTTCATATTCATTTACATCAAGCCAAGCCAAGAGAATGAATGTTTGTGTAAAATATAAAAAATCAATTAAATCATATTTTCTCCTTAAGATTTGCCGGCTAACGGCTGTTACTTCTTGGTATACGAGTACTTACAAGAAGTTGCCAAAAAACAAAGTGGCAGTGATCAGGTCAGCTTAACTGCCACCCTATTTGCTGGTGGTTCTGCTGGTATTGCCTACTGGATAGTTGGTATGCCTGCCGATGTTTTAAAGAGCCGTTTACAAACAGGTAAGTGTGTCTTTAAACTTTCAATGTCCATATAAAATGTTATTCCTTTTATTTTAAGCTCCCGCTGGTACATATCAACACGGTATTCGTAGCGTTTTTTAAGGAATTAATGCTTAAGGATGGACCTCTTGCCTTATATCGTGGTATAACACCCATAATGATTCGTGCTTTCCCAGCCAATGCCGCTTGCTTCTTTGGCATTGAATTGGCCAATAAAGTATTCAATAAATTCGCTCCAAATTTTTAGTTCCTTCACTAAAAACGTATAGGATATGTTAAAAATTTATATTTTTGTACATTTATCACGTATCTTAGATGCGCCCTATGTTTGATATTATTAGAATTCTATAATAAGAAAAAGTGAAGACAAATAAATGCAAATTAGTTTGTATTATTTCAATCTATAAAAATATAAGCTTCAATTATATTTTTGAACTTTTGAAAGTTTTACATTGTTCTTAGAATGCGTTCCAAATTTGAGAAAAACATTTTTTATATTATTGATGCCGTTCTTTCCCTAAAAGAAAAGTCGATCTGCCATATTTCCCTAATGGAAAAGTTGTCGTTATGAACAAGACCGTTCCTTTTTTCTTGGTGTAGTGGTCAAAGTTTCAGTTCTCTAACATTGACAGAAGGTATTGGTAATGGCAGTGTACAAAAAATACTTTACAATTAGTTTTTTGCTTTCTAACTGCAATACATCAACCTTTTAATAAAAAGAAACATATACAAAAAACAAATATTTTTTGAGTTTTTAACTCAACAATTACTTATAATCTTCTCTCAAATTTTGAACCTGATCTTCATAGATGTTCCTGCAAATGGTACCTATTTTGTAAGTTATGAAGCCATAACCAAATTATTAGTAGAGAGTACTGGTTCTGAGTCAAAATTCTTTGCTTCAGTTTTTGCTGGTGGGGTTGCTGGAATGGCATACTGGATTTTAGGCATGCCAGCCGATGTGCTCAAAAGTCGTTTACAAACAGGTTTAATGCAAGACAAATAAATAAATATTTTATTTCAATTCAATTTGATTCTCAACTACAGCGCCGGAAGGTACTTACAAGCGAGGTATTCGTGAGGTCTTTGTAGAACTTATTAAAACCGATGGACCTTTTGCTTTGTATCGTGGTGTTACACCTGTAATGATACGTGCTTTTCCCGCAAATGCAGCCTGTTTTTTTGGTATTGAGTTGTGCAATATGTTTCTTAATTGGGTGGCTCCAAATTTTTAATATTAAATTTTAAAATGTTTTTTTATTTTTTATTTTAATTGGCATGCATTTTTTATTTTATAATAATGTTAACAAAATTTTATTATAAAAATATAAAAGATACAATTAGACCATTTTGATTTTCAAATTGTTTACAAAATTTTTAAAGTTTTTTTTTTAATTAAGATATTTAACATTTTTGTATATTATTAACTAAACTTAAATTGTTACAATATTATTGGTTATCTTAAATTAATGTTTTTCTAGTGGCATGTTTTAAGGATATTTAGATGTTATTACAATTTTGTTTTTTATTTAACAAAACGCTTTTAGTTTATGTTTCCTTTCTTTATAAGTTTGGCTGCCACAAAAACATTTTAACATTAAATATTTTTGTTATTTTAAGGGAGTGAAAATTAAATAATTTATTTTATTAAAATTAAATATTGGTATGAATTTATTCTAATCGATATAATCAATAAATATAATAGATATTTTCGGTAACATTTTTAGGCAAAATCATAAGATTATAAATTATAAATAATGACAATATAATTGAGTAAATAATAAATAACTTAAGCAATTTTTCTATCATGTGAATCGAAATTGAAAACTTGTTTCATATTTTCAGTTTTCGATAAACTATAAGGCGATAATAACATGGGCAAAACGTTTAGAGCTTTTAGTTCCGGCAATCGAATGTTTAACTGAAACAAATAATTGTATAAAGATTATATTGAATGGTGTTAATTTGCCAATTGTAATATTTACCAGATCATCTTTTGGTTTTTCACTATTATTATTATTTGTCCAAATTGGATCGATCCAAAATGGCATGTTCTATAATAAAAAGGAATGTTTATGACAATTTCAGTAGAATTAAATAAGAAGACCTTACCTCTGAAGGTGGTGTATCAGGCTTAGGAGGCTCATATATAGGACACATTTGTATATTGTTTACTAACTCATATAGACCAGTTGAGGCTTCAGTGGTAATTGGTATATAAGTAGGTTGGTTTGGTATCGTAACAGCTTGTGCCGGTACTGGTACTTGTGGTGGCGGCATCATCAGTGTCGGTAAATTTGCAGTTGTGACATCCATGAAAGGTTGCTGTTGATAAATGTTACAACCATGACGACGGTCCCATAATTTGGAGGTGGGATATACAGGTGGCACTTGTTGCAGCTGAACAGAGTTTGTTGCATTCATTTCTTGTTGTGGTTGCGATTGCGTTGGTGGCGGCTGTAAACCGCCCATTGGATTGACCAAATTATTTACACTACCATTTAAATCGCAATATGAAGATCCTGAAGTATTTGAGGAGGTATTAAATGATTGATTAAACATCATCGAGGAATTAAAGGAGTTCTCCTTGTTATTTGACATGTTGGACATGGATGTATTAAACATGTTGGAATGATGCGATGCTGTAGAATAAATCGACGAATTACTTAGGTTATTAAATGAATTGCCACTGGTATAATTTTTCGAAGAAGATGATGATCTCGATGTCTGTTGATAATAGTTTGAAGAGTTGTGTGATCGATAATTGTTAGATGATGAGTAAGAGTTGTTATAGGATGAAGATGAGGATGAATCCGAGGACATAGCACGAGTTTTAGCTGGAGGCCCCTGGTTATTGGAATTACGATTATTATGCTCGCTTAATGGGGGGCGAGAAGGACGTAAAGTTTTTTGTTTGTTGTAGGGTAATTTTAAAGATCCAAACATATGCTTGTGATTAGCGTAGAAAGATAGACGCACTAAAAGGAAACAATTGAATATAGTTTTATACGAATAAAGGCTCTGATACTTACTCTCAGAATTCGGTACCAGGGTAATTTCCGATCGTTCTTGTGTTACACCCAGATTTATATTGAAAATATCTTCATGTGCTGTTAAAATTGAAAACAAATTTGGATAACCAAATTCAAAGGTTGTACTTATTGTACAATCCAATGTCGTTTTAATATCATGCACTATCATGGTTGAGCGCTGCTCCAACAAACGTATAACATTGATCAAAAATTTCATGAATCCGGACATGCTCACATGGGAAATATTGTTTTCAGTAGTTATCTAAAAAATTAAGGAAATTGTAGAACATTACTTTAAAAACTTAATTAATTAACATGCCTCAAGAGCGTGCTTCATGGCTCGTATAGTTGACTCTGTTGTGTTTTCCTTAAATTTTTCATTGAACCCTTTTATGAATTCGCTAAGTGTTAAAGATTTATTCAATTCCTCGGGGGATGCCTGGACTTGTTCATTGTTTTGATTATTTTTATCAAATTTTTCCACTTCGTGGGCTAAAAGATATTTGCTTGCTTTATAAGAAAGATTACGAAAAGCGGTATCATTATTGTGGCAAATAATCCATTTGGAGTCATCTTTTTGAAAGACCTTTAAGAAAAATTGAATTAATAATGTTAAATAATTAAATTAAAGTTAAATGATTTAATAAACCTCTACATATGGTAATAATTCGATTGCTTTTGAAATATCTTTAACTCCTAATGACTGAGGTGTTATTTGATAACCGTATTTCTTCTTGTGCAACTTCATAACGTCCTCTAACTTTACAGATGTTTTTGAAGAACCTGTTGTTTTAGCTATAAGTTCCTCTACTTGTTCCGAAAAAACTCTTCTTGCTACCTTGGCAGTTAGTAAATTTTTTTGTCCTCATCATTAGTAAGCTCCATTTCGACTACACCATGTACCGCTTCCATAAGATCAGCTAACTTTTGAAAGCCATAATCACTTAAACGACACTGATAACCAAAGTGATAGTGATAAGAGCGAACAAACTTCTGAAAGAGTATTGTATATTGTGGAGCATTACGAAACAACTCTACAATTTCTCCCGCAAAAATGCACGTTTTTTCCAGCTCACTAGACGTTTGTTTACGCTTGGGAATCGAGATTAATATGTCTTTGCCATTTTGAACTCTGGAAATTACGACAATGTTTGAATTAACAAGGCCATCTAATATATCATCAATATCGCACACTCCATAATCGGTAACATCAAAGGTTCTATTCTGTGTTTGGGCAAATATGGTGGGCAATTGCGAGAGCAGAACCGATTTATTGCCATGTGCACGAAGAACTCTTAACAAATCTGAAGTAAAACGCCGAATTTGCGTGCGATGTGTTAAAGTAATTTGACGATTTTCTCCATCACCCATAATTTGAACCACGGCCGACAGAGCTTCGAACAGCTCTATGAGTTTGGTATAACCATAATCCGCTACGCGACACTGTTTACCAAAGTGGTTATGATAAGCTGGTATGAAACGATTAAATTTCATAGTAGCTTTCGGAGACATTTTCACCAGTTCTATAACTTCACGGGAAATTTGATATAATGGATCGGATATAGAGTTTTTCGAATATATTTGATTGGAAGAGCCACCGTTTTCCTTGTTTAATTCCAACCAACCCAATATTTTAATACCGAAATTATTAACGGTTATTTGTATGCCCTGGACACAACATACCAAGTGTTCCAAATTAACACCATTATCATTAGGTGTGATTTGAGCTTTCAATTGCCCCTCGATGCAATGTACTAGGGAAGCTACCGGTATATCGCCGGCATGATTTTTCAACAGAGGATGTATAATTTGTTGTATTTCAGCTATGGTCATAAATACATTTGGTAAGGGTTCAATTTCTTGCTCAGCCCATCCCTTATGTTGTTCTCTCTTAAAGTGTATAGTACAATACGGAACACTATGTTGCAATCCCTCCATTAGGGGAGAACTTTCCAATGAGTTAACTAAATCAGGATGCAAGGTAATAAATTTCTCTTCATTATTATCTGAATTAATAATGCAAATGTCCTGCATTTTATAAAGATCCAAAACACTAATGGAGGTTTTGAAACGCGATTGAAATAGTTCACGAAACTTATACATGGGTAGAGTATAGCAAGGAACATCCTATAAAAGGGAAATGGTTAATCAGAATAATATATGCCATCAATACTACATACTTTTAGTAGTCCAGCTACTTGACATCTTAAAGTGTTTATTTCAGTCAAAGAAGAATCACGTGTATACGATACCAACATACGCTTGTGACCAATTTTTTTGCGATGTAAATTCGAAACTACTTGTTTTGCAAACTGTATGTGTAGTACAAAAATTAGAAAAAAAATGTTTCCATTAATTACAAACAGAATAGATATTTTTTTGTTATTTCATTAAAGCATGATTAATACTTACGTACAAATCCGGGACAGTCACTTTAGCATATGAACTACCCTCGAATGTTAACGAAACCACTGGTGTTATAGGTTTCAGTTGATTTAGTAGGAAATTTCTTAAACTAGCTTCATCCATAGAGAAATCAAGATTTGTTATTTGCAAAGTGACCGTGTCATTAGGGTCACCAGCTGTTGCGTACGTTTGGCTAGAATTATATGGAGTTGAGGTCATGACGGTACCACCAGAGCTACAAGAAGAAGTAACAACCGTTGCTAAAGAAACAGATGAGCTTTTATTATCGGTAGTCGACACATTTGTAGTGACAATATTTGGTACTAATGATGAAGCTACAGCATGGGCATATGTAAATTCTGATGAGCCAGCAGAACATTGCGCTGCGGTAGTTGTGGCCATGGAATGTGAATGTAAAGGTGCCTGAACCGATGCCGAGGGTAGCGGTGCAGTTGATGTTATAGTTTGACCCAAACCAGGTGGGCATGTTTGATATATAGGTGTAGCAAACTGATTGTAACCAGCACCGTTGGTTAAAACAGAAGTAGAAATAGCACTTGTAGTGTGTATGGGTTGATGTATGGTCGAGGAGTTTGTGGTGTTGCAGCGATTGTAAGGCATATAACGATTTCTTTGATAACCATATGATGAGCCATTGGATTGATTTGGATAATAAGCCTGGGTGACCGATGTGTGATTGCTGTGGTTATGTTGATTAGTGTGCGAATCATGTGTCGGTACGTGGTTGGTCATCATTGTGTTGCTTCCATGCATGTAGCTACCAGCACTGGTGTATTTGCTCATCAATGAAGAGGGTATTACTTTATTTGTATAAATATGATTTGGTTGATGACCATTGCCATTCTTACCACAAACACCTCCTCCTCCAGCAGCCCCAACATTATAATAACGACTTGAGTTACGATTGTTGTTAACATCCACAATGTTATTTGCCACTGAAGCTGGCACAGTTGTATAGTAAGCATTATTTGTTAAGTAATCATAATCTCCATTTAATTGCTGAACGCCCACTATTTGATTGATGGGATGATGTGTAGGCGCCTGCGCCTGTGTCTGACCGACATTGTAGTTTATGTAAACATTAGTTGATTCATCTGGATGTATGCTGATAATGAGACGAACGTTTTTTCAAAATTTTTAAAGAATAGTTTGTGGATAAAATATTTAATATTAGGAAAATTGACATACCTGTAGTAACGTTCTGCCATTGTTTTAATTTTAGAAAATTTTATTTCATTTCATGTAGAAAATAGTTTGTAGGATTTCTCATAAACAATTAAACAGTTATCTGGAATATGTTACAAATTAATTAATTAGAAGCCAATAAATTAGATCCATAAAAATAAGTTTTGATTTGCTAAAAATATATCCCGGGAAAAATATAGATAACGGTTTCGCGAAAATCCTTATATTTTATGAATTCAAAAAAGCATGGTCAAATAGAAAAATCTAGAATTTGGAAAATGGAATTTGGTATTCCTTTATTAAAATGTATAAAAACGTCTGTAAAATTATAACTGGGATAAAGGTGTTTTCAGAAGTATATAAAAATAACGTTGTCCATTTACAGACAGTGGATTTACAGTAGAAATTTTACCCTATTGGTCCAGAATCTTGCAGTTTTCAATTTGTATCTTTACATAGCAAAATAAAGTGCTTTCCTCTGGCAAATACAATAAAATGCATTTAAATTCAAATAATGAGATTTGCAATTATTATTTTTTCTTTGATAAAAATGAAATTATAAAATAAAAAAAGTTTTATCAGAAAAAAATATCTAACTGTAAATTATAAAAAAACTCACGCCTAAATTTAGGATGATGCAGGCTTTATTAAAAAGAAAAGGCGCCAAAATTAGATTATTTTTTTAGGTTGTTTTACCTTTCTTGGTTTCTTATGTATGTAGAGGTATATAGAAATAAAATAGTTTTAAATTATATGTATAAAATTTATATTATTTATTAGAAAATAATCACTTGTTGTTTTGTAGCAATAAAATCTTATTTATTTAACTAGTTTTCATTAAATTTTATATTAATGAATATTTTCCATAAAAAGTTCCTTTTTAAACTTAAATAATTTTTCTCAAAAAAAAATTTATCTATTTTGCACAAATATTTTCAAAGACGCGACAATTTCGATTTAAAATATGGATTTTTTTGTTTAATATTATATGTTTTAGAAAATTATTTGAAAGATTTTTTTAACACAACACCAGACATATAATATATATTTTGTTTTCTTTAAAATGTTCACGTTTTAACTTTGCGCGCATTATAGTCGTTGTGTCGGTAGAGAAATATTTGAAAACGGTAGCCTATGTGATGGATTTATACCAAGAGAGTTAAAAAATTTGATCCAAGAGAAGAAAAAAAAACATAGAAAGTGTTATACCGTTACAATTGAATTTGTATCTCAATTATGTCAAATAAAATATCGTTTACATTGGAAGAGAGTTTTTCTTATTACATATTCTTCATCAAATGCACTGAGATAAAAATTAAGAATTTTAGAATTGTCTAGAAAAATTACATATAATTAAACTCTCTCAAATATTGATTTCAATATTTTTAAAATAATTATTTTCTCCATATGTAAGTTTAATTAAATATTAATATTAAATGTAATAATCCCTTTTAAAATCTGCTGTATTCCTAAACTCATGCTTTGCAGTGCAACTGTCACGTACTCGTGCAAACTTTGGCAATGTATTGCATTTCATACACTTTGCAATTATTACCCAAACAAAATGATGTTGCGTTAAACTTATTTTTCTTTCAATTTTAAATGTTGCAAACAAAATTCGGTTTAATTTTAAACAAGCGCCGTAAATAAAGTAATTTTAAGATTTTATTTCTAATTAAAAATCGTTAACTGTTAAATCTCGGCTAAATTTAAAATAAATGCCACAATTTTAATATTTTGATTTTGTTTCCACTAAAAATTTTAGTTTTCTAAAAATTAATTGTTAATTTTTTCCATTAAAAATTAATTTTTCGTAATTTTCTTTTTCTAAAAATTTTTCAATTTTATTTTTCAGTAAAAAAATAATTTTTCCCTAAAAAATTTGACTAAGATTTGAATTAGAATAAAAAAAATCCCTAAAAATTAATTTGTTTATTTTCTGCTTTCTCATATTCATCAAATTTTCAGATCCCAGTCAATGATTAAAAATTGCTACAAAATTTTATTAAAGATATTTTCTAAAATGTTCTTTCAACGGCTTAACAAGCTAATAAATAGTAAAAAAACAGTAATACATATTTTTAGAGATGTGTTTTATTATCTTTTCATTACTTAAAAAAAGTGTAAATATATACACATGATAAAAACAGTATATGTATGCATTTATCTGTTGGACTTGGCAACACGTTCCAATTCATCCTTCTTCTTGATGGCATAAGAGTTGGAAGAACCCTGGAAATAAATTAAAATACAAAAAAAATGTTAATTTTAAAACCCACAAAATAAAATTTATTTTGAATTTTATAAATAAAAATATATATATAGATATAAGAAATGTAGTTCTACGTTTCTCGGGCACATTGAAATGTTCAATTACTTCAAGCGCCAGGATAATAAAACAAGATTACTCTAGTCTACAAGCGAGGCTATAGTCAATTGATTAAAGTACATGACACAGCATTAGAGTAGACATAATTTAATTTTAACGTTCATTAAAAAAGGTTTAATATAAATATACAGATATTGGTAAATGAAGTGTAGTTCTACGTTTCTCGGGCACATTGAAATGTTTAATTACTTCAAGCGCCAGGATAATAAAACAAGATTACTCTAGTCTACAAGCGAGGCTATAGTCAATTGATTAAAGTACATGACACAGCATTAGAGTAGACATAATTTATAAACGTTCATTAAAAAAGATTTAATATAAATATACAGATATTGGTAAATGAAGTGTAGTTCTACGTTTCTCGGGCACATTGACATGTTTAATTACTTCAAGCGCCAGGATAATAAAACAAGATTGCTCTTGTCTACAAGCGAGGCTATAGTCAATTGATTAAAGTACATGACACAGCATTAGAGTAGACATAATTTTTAAACGTTCATTTGAAAAAAAAAGAAAGGTTTAATATAAATATACAGATATTGGTAAATGAAGTGTAGTTCTACGTTTCTCGGACACATTGAAATGTTCAATTACTTCAAGCGCCAGGATAATAAAACAAGATTGCTCTTGTCTACAAGCGAGGCTATAGTCAATTGATTAAAGTACATGACACAGCATTAGAGTAGACATAATATTTAAACGATCTGTAGAAATTGTATTATAATTTGATTTTAATAGATTGTTGATTTTCACTTTATTAAGGTTAATATCTTTGAGACGATATTCTTAAGAGGAATAGTTAAACATGGGGTTTTATGTGGTCCTTTTGAATACCAAAGATAACTATAAATGTCTTCTAAGGTTTTAGTTAAGGACTTGGCGAATATTTTATTAAAATGAACGTTTATTTGGGAATTTTTATGTAATTTGTTTAGATTGTTGATTTTTACTTTATTAAATGTCTTCTAAGGTTTTAGTAAAGGACTTACTAAATACATTTCTGAAGGACCCCTTTAATACAGGGAAACCTATGACTCTTATAATAGAGCTAAATTATTTGTAGTTTACGTTTCTCGAGTACGTTAAAATGTTAATTACTTTAAGTACTAGGATAATAAAACTTTGTTCTAGTCCACAAGCGAGGCTAAGATATTGGAAAATTATATATAAAAAAGCATTAGAGTGGACATATTACGACTCAATAGAAACTTTGTTTAAATTATTTTTGTGATTTTACGTTTCTCGAGCAATAATTCAGCCCATGAAAGGTAAAAAATTATTGCTAGGATAATAAAACCTTCTCTTGCTCTTGTCTACAAGCGAGGCAATAGAAATGTATAGACATTAAACTGCATTAGAGTAGACTAATTAAATAACTATAAATACAAATTAAGATTGGAAGATAAATTACCTTAGCAGCGTTGATCAATTCATCGGCCAAGCATTCAGCAATGGTCTTGATGTTTCTGAAGGCAGCTTCGCGGGCACCGGTGCACAACAACCAAATAGCCTGAAAAGTTGAAAATATTTTAATAACAAATGCTTCAAGTTTCTTGAAATATAAAGAATAAATTTTATTTTAAAGCATGTTTAAAGATTTCTTCAAGTTCGTGTTTTATGAACAGCAAACTTATTAAAATAGATTTCTTAAATTTGCTCTAGCCCAGTAGCATAACCTTACATTTTTCGATGTTATAATGTAAGCAATTAAACCTGGGCTTGTTTATACTGAAATGTATCTTTATTTCATACATTAAATGCCAATTAAAAGAGCTAAATAATGCTACGGATGAAAGACAATTATGGGGTAAATTAACTTCTTATAGCCAGGTGTTATAGTCCTTCAAACACTTGTAGTTTTGAAAGATATTGTACAAGGCATAGGTATATTTTTACATGTTTGGATAAAAACTTACTTGGTTGACACGACGGAGGGGCGATACATCGACGGCTTGACGACGTACAGTACCAGCACGACCGATACGGGTGGAATCTTCACGGGGGCCAGAGTTGATGATGGCGCTAACAAGGATCTACAAATGAAATTAAATGTAATTAGTAAATTTCTATTTTTGTTTAAAAAAATTTAAAAATTTATAGAAAATTGTGCTTTAATTTAAAACATTCATAAAACAGTATTTATTTAAACTGATTTATTTACGATTAAATCAAATTATTTTAATCTTTGTCTTATTCTACCTGTATGATGAGTTGATTACAAGATAATTCTCAACAACAGTTTAGCATAAGACAGAAAAGGCATTGTAAACAATTTATAACATGATTGTTAGGACTTACTTGCAAAGGATTTTCACCAGTCAACAAGTGAATGATTTCGAAGGAATGTTTGACAATACGGCAAGCCATGAGTTTCTTGCCGTTATTGCGACCCTTCATCATCAAGGAGCAGGTCAAACGTTCAACAATGGGGCATTGAGCCTTGCGGAAACGCTTGGCGGCATAACGACCAGCAGAGTGAGGTAAATAACGGGCGAACTTCTCCTTGACGGAGATGTAATCTTGCAAAGAGATGTCATTGACGGTAACATCATCGCAAGACCAGCGACCGAACAATTTAATTTCGGGCAATTCAGTGGTGGAGACAACGTTGGTTTCCAACAAAGTCTCAGCACCCTCAGTCTCAATTGGAGGTTGCTCCTCAAAGGTTTCGGTAACGTTCTCAGCAACTTCAGCCATGCTAAAGAATTAAAAAAAAAAACATGTTATTAGTCACAATCCATTAAGCACGCTT